TGTACCTTCAAATCAGGCCAGTTGTATACTTGTGTGTATACATATACTGCCAATTGTGTTCTAATGTGTTGCCTTCCATCCGTATCCATAGTGCAGTTGTTTCTCAATGTGCATGCAAGGCAGGCCAATTGTGTTCTAATGTGTTCAAAACACTGGCCAATTATTTCCTAGTATTTCCACTGATATAGCCAACTGTTACTTACTGTTCTTATCCATAGTGCAATTGAGTCCTATTGTGCCTGCAAAATTACTGAAAACCATGTAAAGGACTGCAAAAATTCTGCCGATTTTCCCACTTTTTGAAGACGATGTGAAGTATGCCACTGTAGATTTAACTGCCTATTTATAGTTCTTCACACGCACTAGCAGTAGTACTCAAGGCCGACCTGATATGTGATACCAGGCCAGATCAAGTTTCACATTTTTCAGACACAGTGAAAAACATCTGGGGCTTATACCCTAGCATAGAAAAGAGCACTGAAACACAGTTGGCTAAAAAAGGGTAACACATATTTTTTTTTCTGACATGACAATTGAAGCACATTTGGGAGGTTCAGGATTAATCGTGTGAATGCGTTTGACCTTGCTATTGTTGACTCCAATAACGTATGTGGGTTACTCTATGTTGAGTATTTCAAATTACCGTTCATCAGTTACGCATTCACGACGGCGGAAGAGAAATACTGGCATGCACCTCAACCATTATCGTACGTACCTGTTAGTATGTCGGCCCTCACAGACAAAATGACTTTCTTGGAAAGACTAAAAAATACCCTCATTTATTTGGTCTCTGACATATTTCGCGATGTACTATATCTTGCACAATTCAAACAAATACAGAATAAATACAACATAGTTCCTGATACGAATATTGGAGACATTGCATCAAAGGCCAGACTGTGGTTGTGGGCTTCGGATTTTGCCTTTGAATATCCCCGTCCTCTGATGCCACACGTTATACCAATCGGATCATTCACAGCAGAGAAAGTTAAACCACTTTCTAAGTAAGATGTTATACTGTTGAAGTGACAGGCATGAAGGGGCGAGATTTGAAATTTATTGGAGGGAGGGGCAACATTTTTTAAGGTGGGCGACCGCCGCTCTGCCTCCGGTGCCGCCACTGGTGTTAGCAATAACCTAAGTCAGTTTCGTAAACTGACATGAATGCAT